GAATTGTTTAATTTTTTGCTATTGAGTTGAGTTATTTATGTATTTTGGATATTAACCTCTTATAAGATAAATGATTTGCAATTATTTTCTCTAATTCTATAGGTTGTTTTTTCACCTTGTTGATGGTTTTGTTTCCTGTGAAGAAGATTTATAGTTTGATGTAGTCCCACTTGTTTATTATATTGCACTTTATAGAATGAATTAGATTATATGTGTTAACATGGTTATTAATGTATTCCCAGATATGTTTCATGATAGTTTTGGAAATTACTATGTCTGTACATTTAAAAGTCACTCATTTTTTGAATATATAATTTGTGTATATGGTTTGATTGTGCTGGGTATTTTGAAGGCTACAAAGTTTAACATCTTATCTTTTATATCTGGTAACTTAGATAAGTAGATAAGACATACATTGAAAGTTAACAATAAATAATAACAGTACTACTGAGATCATAAGCTATTACAGGTAACCTCTAACTTACACAATCCTTTAAAAAGCCTGTTATCTACTTCCTACTAATTATAGACCTGATCACTGACCGGAATACCCAGTTCTTTTTATAGCCTTGTAGACTTTGCCCCAGGCTGGGGTCAGTAGAAGCAAGAGAGGAAGAGGCAAAGTAAAAGCTCCTCTCTCTCCCCCATACCTCCATATACCCCTACCTATCACTGTTATCTACACTGTGAAATGCTCAGAGTAGATTTGGTGAAGAAAAATCCACTGTGCCTATGTGCATGCATTTAAACTGTGTCATTTTCTACCTCACAACCTAAATGTGGTATTCCCCTGAATTTTTTCCTCATTAAAACAGAAATCTGTTTTCACCAGAAATAAGGGTAAAATTAATCATTAAAATAACAGTGATTTTAAGGAAATAAAAAATAACAGTGATTTCATCTTTTCTTATGGCAGAATAGTGCCACTTGCAACAACATGGATGGATCTTTAGATTATTATGCTAAGCAAAATAAATCAGACAGAAAAAGTCGAGAACCATACGATTTCACTGATATGTGGTATATAAAACTGAAAACCGGAAAAGAACAAGAAAAATAAATGAAGAAACAAAACTCATGGACACCGACAGTAGTTTATTGGTTGCCAGAGGGTGAGAGGGAGGGGAGTGGTAGATGAGGGTAAAGGGGATCAAATATATGGTGATGGAAGGAGAACTGACTCTGGGTGGCGAACACACAATGTGATATATAGATGATGTGTTACAGAATTGTACAACTGAAATCTATGTAACTTTGCTAACAATTGTCACCCAAATAAACTTTGATTAAAAAAAATAGCAGGACCGGCCGAGTGGCTCAGTTGGTTAAGAGCACGCTTAAGAGTTTGAGCTCTGAGCAACAGCGGTTCGATTCCCGGCCCGAGCTGAGCAGCTGCTGAGCTGCCAACAGGTGGCGATGGCTCAGCTTAAAAAAAAAAGTAAAAAAAAAAATAGCAATGATCATTATCATTATAATATATAATCATATATATGTACACAAAAGTATAATTTTTCTAAGTAATTAACCTGTATCTTAGTTATGCATCGCGTTAAAAACACCATGTGTGTCATATGGTAATTTTAGTAGTATTCAAGCTAAAAATAAAATTCTAGTTTTTAATTTTCCATTTTATTAAAAAAATATATCCTAAACTATAGATGTATTCTGTCTGTTTCTAGTTATTAACCTTGAAACTTTACTGTTCACAACCAGTGCCTACAAAACTCTTGTATTGAATGTATACCCATCTGTATTAATTATGGATATAATTGGGACAGGTAATTATAATCCCAAGTTACTAAATTAAAAAGCAAAGCATTACTTTTCAGAGGAATTTTTCATATAAACATTTATACCATACCAGTGCTTAATATTAACACTCAAATAAGAAAATAGGCATAGAAAATAGTCTGACTTATTTTTTACAGGGTCAATCATAGGATTTTTTTTTCTATAAGGTAAATGTAGTTACTTAATTTTTAAAAATTGGAATAGCCTCTAACTTGTTTTTTGCATGCTATATTTTAGAACAAGTCAATCAGGAACATTCAGTATAACTTAGATCATTGTAATAACTACTTATTGCTGTTTTAACTCAGTACTTTTATTAGTTTTGGGAGATATTTATTTCTATAGAAGATAAAAAAGATTAAATCATTGCCCAATCCTCAGTTTAGTCCTATTAACTTGGAGTCTTTCTCTTGGCTTTGATTGATTCCTTTCCTTTTCACATGTGATTAAATGTTTTATTCTTTTTGTTATCAAGCATTACTATAGAAAATTCAGTGTATTCATCAACTGAAATTTGAGCTTAAAAAAGTCTTTTGTAATATTGTAGTATTATGAATTCCTGGTGAGTAAGAAGTATGTGTTCAACATCGTCATCTTATAATTCAATCTAGTATTTTATCTTGTAATAAATTTTCAGCAAGTCTCTTGCTAGGTTTAAGAAACCGAGAAAGTAGTCTGAGAATATGGAATAAAGTTAGGAAAGCAGAAGTAGTATATTAACCACACTGAAACCTTGCTGTTGACGCTCCCTTCAACCTCCTGCCTCAGTAAGGTTTGTTTGTTTGGTTTTTAATGCCGGAATAAAAAAATCAAGGCATAGGCAGCCTGCATAGAAGCAACTCAACAATCATGGTAAACTGACACACAGTTGCTCTCAGCTTGCCTCCGCTAGCAGAACTGACAACATGAGAGTCTTGCTTCAAAATTTATTTTTTCTCTGAATTAAAGTTTATTGGGGTGACAATTGTTAGTAAAGTTGCACAGGTTTCAGGTATACAGTTCCGTTATACATCATTTGTATATCAAATTGTGTGTTCACCACCCAGAGTCAGTTCTTTTATCACCATATATTTGACCCCATTTACCCTCATCTACCACCACCCCTCCCCCCTTACCGTCTGATAACTACCAAACTATTGTCTATGTCTATGAGGTTTGTTTCTTCATTTGTTTTTCTTGTTCCTTTGTTGCTTTCAGTTTTATATACCACATATCAGTGAAATCATATGGTTCTTGACTTTTTCTGTCTGACTAATTTCACTTAGCATAATAATCTCAAGATCCATCCGTGTTGTCACAAATGGCACTATTTCATCTTTTCTTATGGCAGAATAGTATTCCATTGTGTATATATACCACATCTTCTTTATCCAATCATCTATTGAAGGATACTTTGGTTGTTTCCATGTCTTGGCCAACATAAATAAAGCTGCAATGAATATTGGAACACATGTACCTTGAGCAGTAAATGTTTTCAGATTTTTGGGGGTAGATACCCAGCAGAGGGATTGCTGGGTCATATGGTAATTCTATTCTTAATTTTTTGAGGAACCTCCACACTGTCTTCCATAGCGGCTGCACCAATCTGCATTCCCATCAAGTGTTTGAGGGTTCCCTTTTCTCCACAGCCTCTCCAACACTTGTTATTATTTGTCTTATTGATGATAGACATTCTGACTGGTGTGAGGTGATATTTCATTGTGGTTTTTATTTGCATTTCTCTGATAATTAGTGATGTTGAGCATTTTATCATATATCTATTGGCCATCTGTATGTCCTCTTTGGAGAAATGTCTATTCGGGTCCTCTGCCCATTTTTTAATTGGATTGTTTGTTTTTTGTTGTTGTTGAGTTGTATGAGCTCCTTATGTATTTTGGATATTAGCCCCTTGCCTCTTTATTTTGTCAATGGTTTCTTTTGCTGTGCGAAAGATTTTTACTTTGATATAGTCCCATTCATTTATTTTAGCTTTTACTTCCCTTGCATTTGAAATCAAATTCATAAAATAGTCTTTGAACCCAAGGTCCATGAGTTTAGTACCTATGTTTTCTTTTATGCAGTTTACTGTTTCAGGTCTTATGTTTAGGTCTTTGATCCATTTTGAGTTAATTTTGGTACACGATGACAGATAGTAGTCTAGTTTCACTCTTTTGCATGTGGCTTTCCAATTCTCCCAGCACCATTTATTGAAGAGGCTGTCAGCTTGTACTACAGGGCAACAATAATCAAAACAGTAAGGTTTTGGCAACAAAACAGACACACAGACCAATGGAATAGAATTGAGGACCCAGAAATAAACCCACATTAATATGGACAGATAATTTTTGACAAAGAAGCCAAAAACATACAATGGAGAAAAGAGAGCCTCCCGAAAATCTTTTTTTTTCTGATTCTATTATAGGTCTTCAGTTCCCAGGGTATATTACTCAATTAAATATTATTTTACAAAATTTGTTAACATGATATCTGGTACATAATAGGTGCTGAATAATTATTTGCTGAATTAATGGATGTCATAATGTGTAGGGAAGGAATTACATTCTGCCTCAGAAACTAGATGTGTTAAATTGTACATAAATGACAAACTAACTTTATAGAGAACAATCAAGAAGTAAAGTGGTCTTTTATCTCGATTTAGTTCCCTTTGTTTTCCATATTTTATTTATATATTAGAGGGGTATCATATATAATTAATAAGTCATCCTTTTGAAGGAGATTTATGTCCAAGAAAAAGACTGTTTTGTATTTGTTCAAGCTACTTTTAGCAAAGATTAACAAAATTTTGTTTTAAGCTTAAATTCCACCAGTACTGAGTGGTAGTCCCATCTCTAAAGGTTATTATTCCCATGAAATTCACTTAATTTGAATTTGTCACTGATTATAAAAGAAATATGTTTATTTAAGAGAATTTAGAAAATATAGAAAAAGTATAAAGAAGATAATTACAAATCTCCATAAAGCCGTTAACAGAGAAAATAAAGTCTCTGTTTAACACTTTGTAGTAAAAGTTTATTTTGAAAGTGAATTTAATTCTTTCCTCACTTCAATAAGGATTATCTTTTGGACATTCAATTTACATTTTGTAAGTGGTTGTTTGATTTTTAAAGTTAATTAAACTATTCCTCATTAATCTGTGCTATTTTGTAGTGAATGACTTGAGTTGGTTAGTTTATAGGTCAGTTATGTCTATCTCATTGTGTCTTCAACAGGTCGAGAAAGCACACGCACTAGTATGCACGGGAAAGCCAGAAAAACTATAAGTCATAGGTGGGAAAGTCAGCTGTGGAGAGAGAAGAAGTTTGGCTTAATAGAGCACCTGCATTACAGCTATGTTTATCCTGAAAGTGTTCCACGGAAATTTACTTTTGAACACAAAAATTTTCTTATTCAGCAGTATAATTCTCAGCCTGCGAAATACACACCGCCAAAAGAAACGCCCCCCAAACTTAATGATTTTAAGAGTGCCCGAAGCCTTGGACATTTTGAAGTAACCATCCTAGGTAAGTCAACTGTTCTTCTCTTTGAACATTATTAATTTAGCTTATTTAAATGCTTATTTTGCTTCAAAAAATTAAGCACCCCCACAAGAAAACATTAAACCTAAAGAGAGCTCCTGTTTGACTCAAACTAAAGGACTGGAGCACTAATTCTGGAATACATTAAACTCTTAATTGTGGGCTTTTAAACATTGGCAAGTCCTTGGAAAATATTTGAGGAGAGAATATTGAGAACCTAGGGAACTTTCCTCACGCCTGACTCACTGACTACTTCTAAAATTGATTCTGTTCTCCATTAGCCACCACTTTCTTGCCCATATTATCTGCCTCTTTCTCAGAGCATCTGAACCATTGAAAGGCAAAATGTAGGTTAAAGAGAAAAGGGTACTAATCAAGAGAAAATCCTGTGAACAGAGGTCTGTTTAGCCCCTGAAGAAAATAAAATTCTCAAGTAACTCAGGTTGAATACAAAGAAGCTACTGAATAAACATCCCATATCTGATAAGTGGCAAAACTGATTTCCTCATGTTCAAAACTGAGAAGTAACTATAGAACGCATAGAAATTTTAAAGAGGCAACACAGTTTTAAACATATTCATTTTATTTTATTAGTTTCAGGTGTACAAAATAATGTAATAGTTAGACATTTACACCCCTCACAAAGTGATAACCTTCCCCAACCTACTAACCCTCTGATATCATATATAGCTGTTACAGTACCATTGACTATATTCCCTATGCTGTACTTTACATCCCGTGAATGAATATATATATATATATATAAATGTTTAATTATATTTGACATTCAATTTTATTTTACTTCAGCTTCAGGTGTATAGTGCAGTGGTCAGGCATTTACACAGTCTGTGAAGTGATCTCCCTGCTATGTCCAGTACCAGTCTGTCCCCCTACATTACCTTTACAACATTATTGATTATATTCCCCACACTCTATTTCACATCCCTGTGACTATTTTGTGACTACCAATTTGTACTTTCTAATCCCTTCATATGCCTTTCCATCCTCACCCCCTCTCATCTAGCAACCCTCAGTTTTTCCGCTGTGTCTCTGAGGCTATTTCTATTTACATTTCTCATTTATTCTGCTCTTTAGATTCCACATATACCATATGATCAAATACCATATGATCTCACATATAAGTGAGATCATATGGTATTTGTCTTTCTCAGTCTGACTTATTTCACTTAGCATAATATTCTAATATTCTCTAGGTCCATCCATGTTGTTGAAAATAGTAAAATTTCCTTCTTTTTTATGGTTGAGTAAATACTCCATTGTATAAATGTACCACAATTACTTTAACAATTGTCTACCGATGGGTATTTCAGTTGTTTCCATATCTTGGCTATTGTGAATAGCACTGCACTAAACATCGGGGTGCATATATTTGTTTTAATTAGTGTTTTGCATTTCTTTGGATAAATACCCAGGAGTGGAATTGCTGAGTCATAGGTAGTTCTATTTTTAATTTTTTTGAGAAACCTCCATACTGTTTTCCATAATGGCTGCACCAATCTGCAGTCTCACCAACAGTGCACAAGGGTTCACTTTCTCCACATCGTCGCCAGCACTTGTTGTTTGTTGATGTATTGATGATAGCCATCTGATGGTGGTAAGGTGGTATCTCATTGTGATTTTTATTTGCACTTCTCTAATGATTAGTGACCTGGAGCATTTTTTCATATGTCTGTTGGCCAACTGTATGTCCTTTTTAGAGAAATGTATCTTCATGTCCTCTGCCCATTTTTTAATTGGGATGTTTGTTTTTTGGCGTTGAGTCGTTTGAGTTTTTTGTTGTTTGTTTGTTTGTTTAGTTTTAGGTATACAAAGCAATATAATTGTTAGACATTTACACCCCTCACAAAGTGATAAACCCCCCCAATCTACTACCCCTCTGACATCGTATATAGCTGTTACAATTCCATTGACTATATTCCTTATGCTGTACTCCACATCCTATGGAGATTATATATATAATTATAGTTGACATTCAATACTTCAGCTTCTGGCGTATAGTACAGTGGTCAGGCATCTACACAGTCTATGAAGTGATCTCCCTGATAAGTCCAGTACCCATCTGGCCCCCTACATAATCATTACAACATTATTGATTGTATTCCCCAGACTGTGTTTCATAGCCCCATGACTTTATTATGACTACTGATTTGCACTTTCTAATCCCTTCACCTTCTCCCCCATCCCCATCCCCTTCCTTATATGTGGAATCTAAAGAACAGAATAAATGAGCAAACTAAACAGAAATAGACTGAGAGATACAGAGGGAAAAAACGTATGAGTTTTTTTATAAACTTTGGATATTAACCCCTATCAGATTTATCACTGGCAAATATCTTCTCCCATTCAGTATGATGTCTTTTTGTTTTATTGATGGTTTCCTTTGCTGTGAAAAAAACTTTTTAGTTTGATGTAAAACTAAGACTGATAAACTACCCAAAGAGACCAAGTAATGCAGTCTAATAAAAGAAGCATTTGTAATGTTTAATAATAAAATATATTTTAAATTTAAAAAGAAGCATTTGAAACTTACGTCTAAGACTGTCTCACAGAGTCAGTGGAAATGGATACTTTTTTCCCTTTCCTCTCTTCCAGTCCCACTTACCTACCTCCTTACGCATAAATATGTCCATATATGTGTTTGTGTATATGTGTATAATCTATGAAAAGTATGAATTTCTACTAACTCTGTCAGACAACCTTAGACCTAAGTTTCAAATGCTTCTTTTTTTAATTTAAAATACTTTTATAATTAAACATTACAAATGCTTCTTTTATTAGAATGCATTACTTGGCCTCTTTGGGTAGTTTATCAGTCTTAGTTTTACATATTGGAACCAAAAGTTACAGCAAGGATTTCCTATCCATCACAAAAAGTAACCAATGCAATCATGAGTTCATCTCAAAACATAGAAATTGAATATCTTTCTTCTTTTTAACATGTTACTGATCTATTGAGCACCTCAGCTGTTTTACAAGTAACTAAACCTTTGTGGCTTTTGTTGTGCATCACCTAAAAGCAAGAATCAAATGTTAAAAAGGCAAATTTATCATTCTGCCCAACCAGCTCTAATCCATTTTAGAATTATGCTGTTTTACATCCTACCCGTTTTCAAGTATTTAAGGTGATTTACATGGGTTAATACAGTGAAAAATAAGCCATATGTGGATGAGACAAAACAGAACATTTAAAAGGAAACAGAAAAAGTAGGTGTTACTAGGTACTTGCAAATAACCACATTTCTACCATTGGGCAGTAATTTTCTGTGTGCTTTCTGGCAGGGAGGGAGAAAGGAGATTTTTCCTGATTAGATATTTTAGAGTTAAAAGAAATTTGAATATCTTTTAGTACTACTTCCTGGCTAGGTCAAAACCAGGCCATAATTAGATAGTATGTTTCCTGAGTCTCTAAACCTATCTTCTGTTACAAAGAAAGCAAACACTCATATATAGGAACCCTGTTATTTTTTTCCCCAACAAAACTCTGAACTCTGGTTGAACCAGAGAACTCATAACAAATGTTATTAATAATGTTGACTATAAATCACCTTATTTTGCAATTTTGAAAGTAACTCAAAATAGTATCAATGACATGCTGATAATAAATCTACCTTCCTGAAAATATCAGGATTTTCAACTTCTGATATTTTCTCAATTCTAGGCATACTTTCTTTTTTTCACATTTGCAAGTTGGAATGCACCTTATGGTCAATGGGTACATTGAATGCAGTGTTTCTTTTTTTAAAAAAAAACTTATCAAATTGATGGTATATATCTTAGAGTTAAATTTAGTCTTGAAATCAAGGAAATAAGTATCAGAATGTGCACATTCACATGATTTTTGCAGCATTGCTAAAATTCATCTATAATATGAAGGGGTAGCTACACTTGTTATAATCCTGAGTTGCAATCCTCCATAAATTCTAAATACCGTGACTCTTTTAGTTTATAAATACCAAATTTTAGTAATTCTTAAAAATCTTTAAGTAGTCCTTAGTTGTATGTTACATCAAAGCTATGGGGTTTAGTGAGTGTCATTTGTCCATGAAAAGCAGAGAATGGACTTGCGTTTCTGAATTAGTTTACAGCTCAACAGGAGGGACTTTGTTTGCCCATCAGTAGCCTATATTCAGTACTTAAGAATCATTGTGGGGATTAATAGGAGAGATATTAAGGTCATAGAACCTGTTGGACATAGTAACCAATATCAGGGAAGAACAAAATGGAGGAGGTAGAGTTAAGGATAGCTCTGGTTTGGGTATCTGGGTAGAATTCATAGAATTTTAAAGTTTTGCTCTTTGTGTTTACCCTTGCTCCAGCCAGGACGGGATCCTTAATCTAATCTATACATTTGACTACTCCCTGCCCCACATGAAATGCCCTCCTGTTTATTTGTTTTGTTTTGTTTTGTTGGTTGGTTGGGATAACACCATTTATCAAGAAAGTTCAAGGGTAAGGGGGAGGGGATGGTAGAAGAGGGTAAAGAGGGTCAAATATGTGGTGATGGAAGGCCAAATATCTGGGTGGTGAACACACAATGTGATACACAGATGATGTATTATAGAAATGCACACTTGAAACTTACGTGATTTTACTAACCATTGTCACCCCAATAAATTTAAAAAAGAAAAAAAGAAAGATCAAGACAAAGACCACAGGAGAGTCCCTTCTAGGACACAGAGGCCCGGCGTTCCGAATCTGAGGGCTGCTGGTGGGGAGGACACTTGCTCCCAGTTGGACCCTCAGGTTTCCACAGATGGGGCAGGGCTGTCATGGCCCCCTTGTGTCCCTCCCAGTCATGAGTATTGGCCTCCCCAACCTAAGGCTCTTTCCAACCACTAATGCCCTCCTCCCGCATGCATATCCCCTGGGCGTTCACTTCCAGATCAGTGGAGGGATGTGGCCTGGTGCAGGAGAGAGAGCCACTCAGTGCTGGGCTCTGCCTGGACCAGCTTCTGGTAAGAACTGGAATTGAGTTTCCCTTGCAGCCCCTGAGGGCAGGGGCTCTTGGCTAGGTGTTTGCTAGGGAGATACAGACCAGGATACCCTCCTGTTTATTTAAATACTACTCACCCTTTAGTACCCAGCTTCAACCCTTGCATTTTATTCACCCTAGGTGATATTGACCCATATAAAGAAATGACAGTCATGAGTCAGGATTCACTTTGGTTGTTTTCCTATAGCCCCTTTTCTACTGCAGCCTTTTATATTCCTAATGATAAGTGATTGACACTTGTATATTGGGGACAGATGGGACCTAGTTACGGTAGTACATACCATGCCATGTATATTTCAGTCCAGATAGCAATAAGGGAACCAATAGTATTCTCTGAATTCTCCTATGTTGTAATGGGACATGTCATGAATGACCAAGAAAGCATTCTTCATGTCTTCCTTTATATGACTAGTCTGTCCTCTGCATATTAAGATTTCAACCTTTCATCAGTAAGGAAAACTTTTGCTTTGTGATTTCTAGCAGTAGTGATAGATTATACTGAAATAGCTCCTCTTTCAACCAATAGCATGTATTCGTAAATGTTTGCACAGCTAAGGATTTAGTCGGCATTTTTTAAACAGTTCATTACAGATATGAAGCTATTTGGCATATGTTAGGATCAAAGCAGCAAACTTGGCCTCGTTTGCACATGTACTAACCCACTGAAATTTTAATGAAGTATGGTTTTTCTATAATAGGTCTGAACCATGAGATAGCGATTGATGTTGCATTCCTACCCATGTATGGTCCAGAAGATATCCGAACATCTCAAATAGACACATTATTAACCTCCATGAATTACAGTTGTGTGTATCCACAGGAAGTAAATGGCAATGAAAGGGTGCCAGGTCCAAGAGCAATTGCAGGTAAGAGGATCTCAGCATTCTTTTCATTCAGAAAATAAAATTAATATTGTAAACAGCCTTAACCTTAAGATGCTATGATATAAACAGTTCTAGCATTAACATTTAATATAGTTTAAAGGGTTATTTGGTAAATATACCCCAAGACTTGTAAGTGAGAATATATGTTTCAATAAAATCAAATGGATTAATGGTTTCTATTCTAGGCAGGCATTAAGAATGTTCTTTTATAATGCAGTTCTAAATGGCAGTATTCATTAGACCTAAGTGGTATACATATGCAGCAGTGCAAATTCTACTCTTCTGTCCTTTTAACTCAAGAGGACAATTTGTCCTTTCCCCTTATAATTGCCTGAAAATTTCATACCTACATAGTATAGTGCAGTACAATTGTTTTCTTTTATAAATATTTTGGTATTCAAGTGATATGCAATAAATTCCTTGAGGAGCGCTAGGAGTATATGTAATCCCAATAGTGAAACCTTTCAACCAACTAATCATTTAGTCTGCTACATAATATACCAAACTTAAATTATTTCTATATACCTATACAATTATGTGTCAATAATTATCGTAGTCACTTTCTGTTGGCGTTTCTATTTCCTAAGCTTGTGGTAAAGTTTCTAGCAGTTTTTATTGAATTTATAAGGACATTACATTTTGAAGAACTTTTAAGAAAGCCTTTATTAACTTAGGATTTTGTGGTGGGTTTTTCTATGCTGATGAAACTGTTGATTGTATGTTGTTTTAAAACAAGTCTTATGAGCTGTGCCTGATGATTAACTTTTGGCATTAATTGTTACTGCAAACTGAATTTGAGTAGCTAATTTTATAAGAGATGAGGTTTTTTATTTTTCCCAGTCTATTTTAGAGGTGATATATTAGTTGGCTTACAGTATTACTTCCTACATTGCAGCCCCTTAGACTTCCAGAAATTCCAGATTTCTTAGTGTCCTAATATGTAGTTTAAATATTTGTGCACTTGTGTTCTTGCTTCATACAATATCCACATTTGTCACATTTCTTCTGCTAAATGTATATGTTATTATTGAAATAAAATATCAAGGCAAAATTCTCAGCTACCTACTAGTTGCCAGTGCCAATATTCTTCCAACAGTCACCAACATGGTCACATGAAAATATGTGGTACCATTCTCCCAAAGCAGTTAACATTTGGGAGATGAAGGACAAGAATCTCTAGAGGAGAAAAGTGATATGGTAATCAAAAGCAGGGTGATTCATTTTGTGATTTTCATGACATAGCATTATTAATAATAATAATATCCATTTAACTCTGTGCCAAGCACTGTGCTTGAGCATTTATATAAGTCGTGACTAATCCCAGTAAGAGCCTTGCAAGGTGAATATGATTATCCCCTATTTATAGATGATTAAAATGAAAATTCGAGCAATTTACCAGCATGAGTAATAGCTAGGATTTGAACCCAGATCTGTCTGATTTAAACTTTTTCATTCCTTCCATGATTCCAAACTGAAAGAAAAAATAGGAACAGAATAATGTAATGCATTGGCTTATAGTATAACATTAGTGTCACCTTTTAAACATTTTTATGAACTAGCTTCTTTTTATTACCTTGAAAATATATAAATTTACTTTGCTCCACTAAAAAAAAATAAAAATATAGCTTTGGAGTACCAGTCCGTATCTTGAAATTGTTGGTAGCATCTGTTTGATGTATTCACTGTTTTCTGCAGAAGTTGCTATAACATAACTTTGATGAATATGTGTGATGAATTGGAGGGAAGAAGAAGATGAAGGACAGTGGTAATATTATAAGAAAAAAAACATCAGCTGATGTGATACTAAATCCAAGTAAATATTTAGCTATTTTACATTACTTACCATCTGCTTTTTACTTTTAGGTGATATTATAAAAGCAGTAACTGAACTGGATAGAATGCATGTCGTCTGTATCTTGGATATCTGTAATTTGGGTAACAACAAGGTCGAAGTCTGTTTGCATAAAATTTATAGTCCAGATAATATTTATTAAAAATTGGCAAATGAAACTATTACAGGTCACAAAGAGGGCACCGTTTTAAAGATATTGTAACATTTTGTTGGTAATTTCAATTTTTTCTGAAAGAATATTACAGAAACTCTAAAGTTAAGTGGTTTTATGTTTGTCTTGTATTTGGAGCTAACATTTCATTTTAAATTCATTACTGAAACAGTCATTAAAACAATTTTTTGTGTATCAAGAAAATGTACCTTACTTTCATATGACTGTCATCTTGACTTACAATAATTTGTGTTCACTGCTTTATTTGTGAACTGTACTTTTGTTCTAAAGCCTCAGCATAAGGTGTACTGACTTAAAAGAGTAACTTTTCGTCAGACATTTAACATCCTGACACTTTTATTCACCTATAATGGGAAATTTTGAATTGCTAATTTGGAGATTAAATGTTTCCAAAATGGTCAACCTGCATTTCTCACAACCAAAGTAGTAGTTGCTATCATTTTCAAAAGCACGCCTTTGTTATGGTCCATTTGCCCCCGCTTTAGTTTATTTGGCTATCCAATGTGCCTGCTAAGGGTTTTCCACTCCCTCTTATGACTTCATATCCTTTGAATTTCTAAACGTTTTGACTAGTGTGTGATCTTAAAGCCAGAGGCTTTAATTTGTAATTTTGGTACATGTAAAGTAACTTTAAATAGTGAAATTTTATCTCATATTAACATTTTAAGTGCTCATATTGAAAGTATAAAACAATAACTAAGGGAGTTCATTTTATTCTGGTTGTCTCTTATACTTCATTTGAACTGTAAATGGCCTTTCCACATTTGCAAGGCCCTATGGTTGACATCTATGTGCATCTATGACCATCACGAGTTAATAATTATTCTGTATCAAGAGGAATCTGATTATAGTTAACCTGTTAACTTGTGGGGTTTCCTCCTTGCCCTGTGGTTCTGTGACTTCATATGCTATACATTTTAAATGTATTGGATAGCTCATGAACCTAAAGACAGATGCTGCAGTTTGTTCATAAGTGTGTTCAGCTTTTTGTTTTTATAATTGCGTATAAATATTAAATTGCAAATCCTTCTCATGTTAAAAATTTGAGTGAATTATTAAAGAAGTTAAAACACAATAACTTTTTTGGTCACCCGTCTCATTTTTAATGGATTTGATGTATTTCTTCCATATTTTTGGCCTATGGTAGACCTACATGTTCTTGCTAAATGAGCCAATATGATTCTTCCATATGGGTTGAAGACTGTTGTTTTATCAAAGAAACTCTGGGTTTCTGCATTTAGCGATAGTAAACTTTATAAGACAGTTCAATTTCAGTGCCACATAAATGTTGGAGAAGGGAAAAAATAATACTTAAGTAGCTGTTGACTAAAACCTCAGGCTGAGATTTCAAAACTACATACTTTCAGTAGGCATAATTTCTATTCTCATATTGAATGAGAAATATGAACATTTTTCTAAATTTAGGATTTTTAAAGACAAATTCACTGTCAATTTATCTTATATTATAGTAATGTTTTTATCCAAATTTTAAGTTAAACATCTTTGTCCACATTTCTGGATGTTGCAAAATTAGATACCTACTGTGGCAGTTTCCTAAGAAAAATCACAAACTACCATCAGAACTTATCAAGTGACAATATGTGTTCATTAATTCCAAAGCAACACAAATATACTACTGTGATGTCACCGTCATAGTAACAGATCAATTAGTCAATTATGAAATATTACAAACTATCAGAGGACAACAGTCTCTCTCTCAGACGTTTCTGATTTTAGATGGCATATGAGATATATATATACACATTTAAATCTATTGGTAAGCTATTGAACATTCTGAGCACATGTTCTCCCTGCCATTTTTATTTCTTTGTTGGAATTATACTGCAGTCATTTTACTCATTAAGAAAAGGACTTTTAATAAATTTGAAACCCTTATTTGGTAACCCTAATAATATTTAATGTTTTTAGCTGTTGGGTTGTTGGAAAAGTCATGGCGCGTTTTTGCAATGAAAAACATAGAAAAACTACGTCATGACTTTTCTGACAACCCAATAGATGCCTTCTGCTAATATGGACAATAGATTAAGTGGTCTGACAATTAAGTTCACGAACTTACCACCATACACTTACATTAGCAGCACTGTACAAAGAGCTCAATAAGATTTCATAACCTTGGTATATCAGTGTCTCACAGCTGAGTTCGTGTCGATGTTCTGATGGTGGTGTCTGCTGAGTGGTGTTCATTGTTGCGTGTTTTTGTGTGCTGTCACGAGAATGTCTGAGCTTGAATTAGAGCCATGAACAAACACTAAATTTCTTGTTAAACTTGGCAAGAGTGAAAGTGAAATCAGGGACATGTTAGTCCAAGTTTATGGGGAGAATTCCATGAAGAAAACGGCAGTGTACAAATGGATTAAACATTTTCCTGAGGAGAGAGAACATGTCACTGATGAAGAGAGGTCAGGTGACCAGTAACAAACAAATTATGAAAACATTGCAAAAATTCATCAAATTGTGCGTCAAAATCATTGGCTGACTGAGAAGCATAGCAGAGCAAGTAAATATCGATAGAGAAACAGGAAAATCTTAACTGAAAATCTTTTTTTATTATTATTAAATTATTTTTATTATGAAATACACATTTTTAGAATTAGTTTCAGCTGTACAACACAGTGCAATAGTTTTAGTTTTTACCCCTCGAAGTGACAACCCCCCTCCCCCATTCCGCCATCCCATTTTCCCCCCAATATCATACATATCTATTACAAATCCCTTGACTCCACTCCCACACTATACTCCACGTCCCATGACCATATATATATATATATATATATATATATATATGTTTATATATGTTTATTGTGGCGCTATTCACAATAGCCAATACTTGGAAACAACCGAAATGCCCATCAGTAGACGACTGGATTAAGAAACTGTGGTACATTTATACAATGGAGTATTACTCCGCCATAAAGAATGAAATCGTAACATTTGGGACGATATGGATGGACTTAGAGACTATTATGTTAAGTAAAATAAGTCAGTCGGAGAAAGACAAATACCATATGATTTCACTTATATGTGGAATCTAAAAAACTGAATGGGCGAGGAAAGTTAATTGAAAATCTTGACAATAGAAAGGTGTGTGCAAAACTGGTCCCGAAGGAGCTCATCAATGAACAAAACCAAAGGAAAGTCGAAATTTGCCAACACCGTTTGGAGAGGCAAGATGATGTTTTGGGTCGTGTTATCACTGGTGATGAAACGGGTGTACCATTACGACCCTGAAACAAAGTGTCAAAGTGCACAATGGAAGTCAGCCAATTCTCCATGACCAAAAAACTTCCAAATCAAGAGTCAAAACGATGTTGCTAATCTTTTGATATCAGAGGGATTATTCATTATGAGTTTGTACCAACTGAACAAACAATTAGCCAAGTTTACTATTTGGAAGTGCTAAAAAGGCTGCATCAAAAAATTAGACAAAAACGACCTGAACTTTTCGCCAGCAGTTCATGGCTCTTGCATGTCAGCAATGCACCAGCTCACACAGCACTGTGAAGGAGTTTTGAGCCAGTAAACAAATAACTATATTGGAACACCCTCCCTACTCACCTGTTCTGGCCCCCAATGATTTCTTTCTTTGCCCAAAGATAAAGGAAATATTGAAAGGGAGACATTTTGATGACATTCAACACATCGAGGGTAATATGACGACAGCTCTGATGGCCATTCCAGAAAAAGTTGCAAAATTGCTTTGAAGGGTGGACCAGGCACTGTCGTCAGTGCATAGCTTCCCAAGGGAAGTACTTCAAAGGTGACTGTAGTGATATTCAGCAATGAGATATGTAGCACTTTTTCTAGGATGAGGTCATGAACTTAATTGTCAGACCTCGTGTAACTGATCATATCATTCTGAAGTCATTTATATAGTATAATTGAGCTGGTTGCTATGTCACTGATTACCTTTTCAGGTACATTTTCCTTTTTTATGCATTGCTATGCAATAATTTGTAGGTAAATAGATGTGAGGTGAAATATGTATTACATAGTTCTGCTTATTTCAATAACCAACTTGTGAAATAATTTTAGGAAAAAATGTTAAAAATTAATAAATAAAACAATATTTGGGGACTATCTAAAGATTACAGTTATTTGAGATTACATTTGCATCAAGTCATATTATTTTTGTACCAAGTCTCCAAAATAGAAACATTACATATGAACTTATTTCTTGGTTCAGGTCATACCACCCAGTATGTTATCCATCATTCTTAACATTGGTATGTTGATACTATGTCTAGCCCTAAGTTTTTGCTTTCCTTTATACTAAAACAAAATAAAAAGTAGATTTTGGAGAAATAAAACATTTAAAGCTACCCACAGCTCTATCCCTAAATCCTTGTGGAACTTTAAGAAAAGCTACTTAAACTGCTTGTCCTTAATTGCCTTATTTGTAAAATTTGCAAAATAATGGTCCACCCAGTTCTATGATTCCTTTGGTCCATTAATATAGTTATTAGAACACTGAAATTGTGTAATTTAAATGTGTTTCATGAAAATGTGATTTTCTATGAAGGACATTTTAAAGTTATGATTAGACCATTATCAATAACAGCAATTTGTTGCAACAACAACAAAAAACATTGAAATCTTAGAATCCCGGTTATTTTCACTGTCAGTGTTCTTCCTATTTTGTTGCCTGATCAGTATATGTGTGTGTGTGTGTGTGTGTATATATATATATATATATATATAGAGAGAGAGAGAGAGAGGAAGAGAGAGGGAGAGGGGGAGAGAGAGAGAGAGGGAGAGAGAGAGAGAGAGAGAGAGAGAGCGCAACACTCTAGGGATGTCAACACAACCAGCTAGTAGGAGCCTAGGTTCCTGATATTGTGAAGCTGCCATACCAACTGTGCATTGCTTGCCTGTTTTGGTTGTTACATGAGAGAAAAATAAATTTCTATCTTGTTTATGCCACCACTATTTTGGGTCTCTGACCAGCATTCAAACATGTATATTTCTAATGGAGCAAAAATGAAAGCATGGGGATCAGCTAGATGACAAATGAGATTGAAAGAAGTAATTATAGTCCATATAAATTTTTTAGATAACATTAAAATACAGATTCAGGCATCTTGCCTAATTCTAATAGCTCAGTTCTTAAATTTCCACTGAAAGAAAAAAATTCGAACACTCAAAAAATTCTGCCCCACCCCACCCCGCCAAATCACAAAGGCCATATCTTAATAACCAAGTAAAATGTAGATAACTTTCAGGTATCATTGCTGTCATATGGTCCTAAGCATGTTTGATTTTGGACATCAAGTGATTTTCTATCAGATCTCGGTTATTTTTATTTGGCTTAGGATAATATTAAAATTAACTTTTATTCCTTTTGAACATACACCAAGTTAGTCATCTACCCCAGAGCTGGAAGATGGCTATGAATAAGCAAGAGTTACCTGTATTCTACGAGGTATAACAATTAAGTCTGCAAACTCATTCTAGAAAAAGTGCTACATAACTCATTGCTGAATATCACTATGGTCACCTTTGAAGTACTCCCTTGGGAAACTTTGCAACAAGCTAGCACCTAGCCCACCCTTAAAAGCAGTTTTAGAACTGTTTTTTGGGAATGGCCATCAGATCTGTCTTTGTATTACCCTCGATGTCCTGAATGTCATCAACATGTCTTCCTTTCAATATTTTCTTTATCTTTGGGTAGAGAAAGAAGTCATTGGGGGCCAGATCAGGTGAGTAGGGAGGGTGTTCCAATACAGTTATTTGTTTACTGGCTAAAAACTCCTTCACAGACAGTGCCATGTGAGCTGGTGTATTGTTGTGATGCAATAGCCATGAACTGTTGGTGAAAATTTCAGGTCGTTTGTGTCTAACTTTTTCACACAGCCTTTTCAGCACTTCCAAATAGGAAACTTGGTTAACTGTTTGTCCAGTTGGTACAAATTCATAATGAACAATCCCTCTGATATCAAAAAAGATTAGCAACATCATTTTGACTCTTGATTTCGACTGATGGAATTTTTTGGTGGTGGAGAATTGGCTGACTTCCATTGTGCACTTTGACGCTTTGTTTCAGGGTC